CACACACACACACACACACACACACACACACACACACACACACACACCATGAAACAATGGGTGTTACCATACACACTATAAGGAGAGTGATCAGTTAAGGTGGGCTTTTATCAGCAGGAGAGAAAAAGAACTGTTTGTAGTGGTAATGAAAATGGCCCATTTCCAGCAATTGACGAGATGTATGTGATGTTTTTTTAAGGATTTCACAGTCAATTTCTTTCATGATGCAATCAATGTAACGATCAAGGGTGTGGTTTCATCTGCTTTGTGGTGTCCAGTCGATTTTTTTTTTCCTTATGAGTGTCAATGGGGATGTGGTAATATGAGTGGTGTCCTCATTGTGAAAGAATTAATTGAATTCATAACTCTTCTAGACACCAATAATCACAGGCTGAATAGAGACACTGGTTTTATGGCTTATTACAACAATCTGTAACCTGCAAACAACCCTTCCCTAGCTGTCCTCTTCCCCCCCACCACCCTTCCTTTCCCTCCTGTGACTAGAGGGGTGTTCACAGACCACTTCACCTTGAATGACCATACGAACATAAGAACGGCCATACTGGGTCAGACCGAAGGTCCATCTAGCCCAGTATCTTGTCTTCCGACAGTGGCCAATGCTAGGTGCGCCAGAGGGAATGAACGGAACAGGTAATCATCAAGTGATCCATCCCCTGTCGCCCATTCCCAGCTTCTGGCAAACAGCCATTGGCTAAAAGCCATTGATGGACCTATCCTCCATGAATTTACCTAGTCCTTTTTTGAACCCTATTATAGTCTTGGTCTTCACAACATCCTCTGGCAAGGAGTTCCACAGGTTGACTGTGTTGTGTGGAAAAAAATACTTCCTTTTTGTATGTTTTAAACCTGTTGCCTATTAATTTCGTTTGGTGACCCCTAGTTCTTGTGTTATGAGAAGGAATAAATAACACTTCCTTATTTACTTTCTCCACACCAGTCATGATTTTATAGACCTCAGTCATATCCCCCCTTAGTCATCTCTTTTCCAAGCTGAAAAGTCCCAGTCTTATTAATCTCTCCTCATAGGGCAGCCATTACATACCCCTAATCATTTTTGTTGCATTTTGATCCTTTGAAATACATGTAACTTCTTATGCTAAACAATCTGTTGCATCTTGTATTTAGCTGTGACACTGTGTACGTTTCCCAGACTAAGGAAGAACTGTGTAAGCTCGAAAGCTTCTCTCTCTCCAACAGAAGTTGGTCCAATGTTGGTCCCCACATTGTGTCTTATAGAAACTTTAGACAAAATGTGATGTCTCACTGCTGATGATTTTTTTTTTTTTTTTTTTTTTTTTTTTTAAACCATAACACTTGAACTTTTTTCAAAGTTAGTGAACATTTTCATTCACCCTGAGAATTGACCTTCAGTGTCTTGGTAACACAGATTTGAATCTGAACTACAAGGGTAAGTGAAACATAGGCTTGTTGTGGGTTCCAAGGCCAGAAGGCACCATTGTATCTAGTCTGACCTGTATAACAGAGGCCATAGAAGGTCCCCAAAATAATTCCTAAAAGAGATCTTGTAGATGAACATCTAATTTTGATTTAAAAATGATCACTGATTGAGAATCCACCATGATCTTTCATAAATTATTCCAATCTTTAATTGCTCTCACTGTTAAAAATATGCACTTTATTTGCAGTCTGAATTTGTCTAGCTTCAACTTCTAGCCATTGGATCGTGGTATACCTTTCTCTTCAGACTGAAGAATGCAAAGCCTATTGGTAGCCAGACCAGGAGAGTGTGTGGAGTTTAGTATTTCTGAAGTTAGAAGGAATAAGATCACTGTGGCTAAAAGGTTAAAATAGCTTCAATGCTTCCAGTGGCTGGCATGAGAGTGTTATACTGGGAAGGAAGGATGGTATTAGAAAAATTTAGTGTGAAGTGCATGATATCACTTGAGGGGTGGGTGTTTGCATACCTTATTTATACATCAATATATTGAATCAAGGTACTCGGATTCCATGGTGACAAGTGTAACACAAATTTTAAATTTTTTAATGTTGAAGGTGTATAGGTATAGTAGTTTCATAAGTTTGTATGGAGCATGGCAGGACTACAGGGGTGGAAAATTTTGCATCTTATACTGTCCAAAGTGTAGGGATTTTTTACATTTTACTTTTAACTCAGAATTTTTTGGTATTCCAATGTTTTTAACACTTGCAAATCTCCTGAAAATTGGTGGTGGTACATATTTCCATCTAGAATTCCAGTTTAACATAGTGCTGCACTCTGGGTTAAATTTTAATCTTGTATGCTGAAAGGTTCTGCTTTATATAACTGGTGATGGGAGTGATTTGGTAAGTTGAAGTTGGAATAAATTTCTACAGGGAAGATTTAATAACGGTATGAGTGTGCTCATGGACATAGATTTCTTTTGAAAATGTTGTTGTAATTGGCCAGACGTAAGGTCATGCCAGTGCACCAATTCCTAGTTGTGTACAGTAGGGGCTTCCATCACTTAAGAATATTCTTTATGCCCATTGTTTTTAAATAACCATCCGCTTAAGTATCCTTCTGCTCAGTAGGAGCTGTTGCAGCCCTTTTGGCGTAGAGGAAGGAGTGCTAGGCCGAGAGCTGGGATTCTGAGTTTTAGTCCGAATTCTTACACTGATTCTGTGCACTTCACCGCCTTTGTATGTAGCCTTGTAACTCAGTAACACCTAGTTTAGGAGGCAGGGAAGTATAAACCCCCCCGCCCCCGCCCCCTCTCCCCCCCCCCACACACACACTGAGAGTTGCACAAGATAATGTCAAACAGCTGGGAAAATAATCTAGTCTCTAATTTCAGAGGGATAGCCGTGTTAGTCTGTATCAGTAAAAACAACAGAATGGGTTTTAGCCCGTGAAAGCTTATGCCCAAATAAATTTGTTAGTCTCTAAGGTGCCACAAGGACTCTAGTCTCTAATGTTGCAGACCAAGTCTCAGCCATCTAGCTACTTTGTTTTTGAGAATGAATGTGCCAGACCTGTGTGTTTGTCTGGGCTTTCTATAACCACTAGGCCCCATTTCCCTCCTGAGCCAGAAATAGAACCTGGCAATTCTGATTCTCAACGTTCCCAGATAGTTGTGTAAGTCGCTGCCCTTCGGGTGGCTGGCCCACATAGTGGGTAACAGCCTGAAACTGTGACCAGTTATTCATTTAGCTCAGGTAGTACATCTCTGTTGTGGATTAAAAAGTTCTGGATTCAAGTCCTGCTGATGACTTAAGTTGAGTGAGGTGGTCAGTATGACTTCCCATGAAACTTCTGGATTTTTTTCAGTTGTTTTTTTTTTTTTTAAACTTAAAAAATTGTAATAAAAAACCCACCCCTGTTAAAAGCATGCTTGAGTTTCAAAGTCAAGCCCTAAATTAGGAAATGCCAGAATTAAGGTTCTTATGCAATCTTAATTTGCCTCTTCTGTATGTATTATGAATGATTAAAGTCTTCATGTGATCACATGCTGTCAGTTCTACAACACCCATGCCTCATTCTGTATAAAGGCTGGACAGTGTATAAGGCAGAGGTTTGTAAGAAAATAACTTGTAGTTAAGGCACTGGACTGGAACCCAAGAGAACTGGCTTCTATTTCAGTCTCTGCCATAGATTTCCAATGTTACCTTGGGTGAAGCTGTTGCCCCTGCAATCTGAGTTCAGCCCCTTGCTCATATGTATCTTTTAACATAGTTTTGTGTATGTGATTTGCTATACATTGAAACATACCTAAAATCTATTTTCACTCCTGTTTTTTGTTGTTTCCCCCCCCAATTTATTGAAATGAACATCTGGGGGGCTTTGCAGTGGTTCAGGTTTGTTAGCTTGAGAGAATGAAATAGCCTGGAATTTTTTTGAAAAACACTGGAGTTTTCCTTTAAGAAATTAAGATAATATATAGTTTTGAAATAGCTACTTGTTTTCATCTTCCTAAAGTAAAAAGCTTTCAATTGAATACAGGCAGAGAAAGTTCAATTTATTTTAAAATGAAGTTGTAGACCTTATTTGTGATTTTTCTCTTTGCAGATATTTTATAGAATGTCTAATGGTTATGAAGATCACATGGCTGAAGATTGCAGGGATGATATTGGTAGAACAAATTTAATCGTGAACTACCTCCCTCAAAACATGACACAGGATGAGTTACGAAGTCTATTTAGCAGTATTGGCGAAGTTGAATCTGCTAAACTTATTCGGGACAAAGTTGCAGGTATAATCTAGTCTATAAGAGTTTTTGCTTTGTGGTAGACTGCTCAAACCCTTGACTAAATGCAATTCAAGTAGATATTTTGAATATCTGTGTATATTGTCTGCAGCTAACAGGAATGAACACAACTATATTTAAAGCAATGTTAAGATTAAGAAATAAAGTATTATAAAGTCAAGAAATTTCATAAATGAAGGAGCTAAATTCATCTCTTGGATTAGGAGGTGCAATTCATTAATTTAATTCAGACCCTGGTGTGAACAGGTCTCTTCAACCCGTAAATTCTTCTGCAATATTAACTTGATCTTATGAATAAGGTGAGACATAGACTGTGCAAACAATCAGAGTCTTCAAAACAGGAAAATACTACATGTGCAACGTGCCTTATATATTGTTGCAGGATAACCTTACCTTAAGGAAATTTCTTATTTGAGTGCTTTATTTTGTGACCTTAACATTGCTCTAATGCTAATTCCATTTTAACTTCCCAAGCTCTTTAAGGAAGAAGGCAGGATGGGGCTCAGGGAAAAGTAATAAACACAGAGCTGCTTAGACTTGTGGAACTTGATGGTTCTTTGAAATTCAGCAAATGTAATCGGAGCCGTAACTTTCTTGATACACCTCACCTATTCAGTTTATTAGCTAGCAAGATTCACTATCAGAGTTTTTATCAGCTTCTTGGTGTGGAAATAATGAGGTGGTTAGAGTATAAAGGCACTGCAATTTTTGACATGCTAAGTAGTTTCCTATATTTACAAGTTCTGCTCATCCTTGTTCAGAATCTTTTGAGTTTATAATCTGCTTCAGTAGGTGAGGTAGTAAATTCCTATAACCAAGTAGCTGTGCAGCTCACTGACTGTGGTTACATGTTTGCCTACACCCATGTCTAAGCATGTAGCTAACAGCCTAGTGGAATTTTCTACAGCACTTGGTGAATCCTGCATTTCAAAGATTCTTACTCGCTTCTTCAAAATTAGCCAAGTCCATATTGTTCATTAAGGCCTATTTACATACCAAGTCTGAAGCTTCAAAATTCAGTGGCTGAGTTATCCTCATGAATAAAAATTAATATTTGTACAGAATGTCAGTTTTGCTAGAGACGAAGCATGTAAAATTTTGTGCAGAAGGTGAATATTTTAGAAAGCACGCATGTGAGAACAGGTGACTACAGTGGAAATGGTTTTGCAACTTTAATTATAACATTGATGACTAGTATGACTTCTGATCCCTTTCTCATTTTTTCCAGAACTTTTCAGAGTCCCTCTTTAGCTGAAAATACTTTATATGGCATGTGGATATGTGGGTAGTATGAGCAGAACTAGTTCATGAGGGGTTTACACAGAAGCTTGACAACACAGGGATGGAGAAGACCTGTGATAGTAAGCCATACAGTCCATTTCCCAGTCAGTGCAGGACTGAATTCTACAGCACATTGTCCATTATTTTGTTCAGATTAGTTTAAAATGTCTTAAGCACTATAATTAGGACTAGACATTCCACCACATTCTTGGGGAATCTACTTTGCAACCTTATACATTAACTGACAGGAATGTTTTTTCCTGGTCAGCTTAATTGTTCCATTCCTTAATTACTCCTAGCTAGATAATCTTTGTATTAGACTAAAACACTTATTAACCAAAGACTGATATGGAAGATGGAGAGCCAACAGTGAGGCCTGTAACTGAATAGCAAGCCCAGCCACACACTTCATTCATCTGCTGGGGAGGAGGAATTAATCTCTAGATTTGCCTGAGGATCCAGCTGATGGGCTTGGTCTTCCACATCAGCTTCTGTCTCCTAAGCATCCAAGTTAAATCTGAAGAGCTTTCCATTTTCCTTTCTCTTGCCCACTCTTACTCTTTTGGCTTCTTGGAGGGAAGAGACTTGTCTCCCTCCTCCTTCCCTTTCCACTACCACTGCATCCCATTCTGGAGGGTCTGGTGTGGAGTTTCTGCTATTCTATCCCCTCATCTGGCTTGCGTTTTTGGATCATCCTTTGCTATGAATAGCTCCAATACTTGACTGTGTTTCATTACTTTCTCAAACAGCTATGGGGTGGAATCTATGAGCAGCAGCACAGACATTGGAGCTATATGCAGATTTGAGAAGACATTAGACATCGGTTAACATTTGGAAGATGATCTTTGCTCCTTATGATGGTGTTTTTATTTAATCTTGTTTTTTGCAGAAATGATGACCTAGACCTTCTTACGAGGGAAAACTACTTATTGTTAGCAAGTGGATTTTTCATCTCTTGGCAATTCCTGTCCATCTTTGATGTCTTAATCCTTCAAATACTGTATTTGGAAATTGTCTCACCAGTATGACTCTCTCTTCTTAGTTGCTGCTTAAATTACACTGCTCTAAAGCCAAAATGCTTCTGAAATAAATGTAGTCAAACTTTACTAATTCTGGGTCACTGAGAATGAAAATGATGCTTAAAATTGTTGATTGGCTCTAGTTTTCAAGATATGCTATTGGGTCAGTATATACGACCCTTGACTTGGGAATGGCGGAGGATAAGTGAGTTATAAAGGGAAGGGATCTCAATTTAAACCAGAAATGACTAAAATACATCTTTGACTGGATCTATGAATAAATCTATGACTGGGTTTGGACAGTACATGCTTTTTAGGCAAAACAATGAATGATGCAATCTGAAGCTGGTATTGCGTCATACATGATATGACTTGCATCATGTTATTCCTAGAAGTCATGAATGATGCAATCATAACGAAGCTTACATCACTCTGCTGAACAAATTGCCCTATATCAGCTCTAGAAATCATACAGTGTCGTGCTCTCTTATTTGTCAGTGTTTGATTTTGCAAAGGGACACATTTCTGTTTAGCCAAAGTGAGCAGAGATGCCTCGTACTTGTGTGAACAGTGCAGATAACTTCTGCTATGTTTGTGGTGAAGTGACTTTTGCACCACAAAAGTGCAGTATAACCACTATGGTTAAGAAAGCCTATCACCTTTATTTTGGCTGCAAAATTGGAGATCAGGACAAGAGGTGGGCCCCACACATATGCTGCAACACTTGTGCAACAAATCTTCACCAGTGATTGAACAGGAAAAGGAAATCTATGCCTTTTGCAGTGCCAATGATTTGGAGAGAGCCAACAGATCATACCAGCAATTGTTACTTCTGCATGGTGCCTCCAGTTGGGAAAGGTGTGTCAAAGAAGAAAAAGTGGCTTGTGCATTATCCAAACATTCCATCAGCTATACGCCCAGTACCCCACGGAGAAGGACTGCCGGTTCCTGATGTACCAGAATCATTCTCACTTGAGTCAGACGAGGAAGAGGATGAAACTTCTGGTCCTGAACCATCAATGTCACAGGACCCACATTTTCTCCCATCCTCCTCCTCTGAACCACACCTCCTAACACAAGGTGAACTGAATGACCTTGTCAGGGATTTGGAACTACCCAAGAGTAAGGCAGAGCTCTTGGGCTCCGGACTACAGCATTGGAATCTCCTGGCAGGTGATGTTAAGGTTTCCATGTTCTGTGACCGTCAAAAGGATCTTGTCCCATTCTTCTTCATGGAAGGTGATCTTGTAGCCTGCAACAACATCGATGGTGTGATGGCAGCCCTCAACATCGTTCACGATCCAGATGAGTGGAGACTGTTCATTGATTCATCGAAGACGACTCTTAAAGCTGTTTTACTGCATAATGGCAATGTTTTGCCATCAATTCCAGTTGGTCATGCAGTCCATATGAAGGAAACCTATGACAACATGAAATAACTTTTCGGGTGCATAAACTATGACCAACATCAGTGGCAGCTTTGTGGTGATTTGAAGGTTGTTGCTCTCTTGCTTGGTCTGCAGACTGGATATACAAAGTACTGCTGTTTTCTCTGCGAATGGGATAGTCGTGCAAGAGATTCCCACTACATCAAGAAAGATTGGCCACTCCGACAGTCATTGGAGCCTGGGAGGAAAAGTGTTCAGCATCCACCACTTGTTGAATCAAGGAAGATTTTGTTACCACTCTTACACATCAAGCTGGGTCTGATGAAGAACTTTGTCAAGGCCATTGACAAAACACAAGCAGCTTTCAAGTACCTCCGTGGAAAATTTCCAAGGTTAAGTGAAGCTAAGATAAAGGAAGGTGTCTTTGTTGGTCCTCAGATTCGTGAACTTCTTCGAGATGATGCATTTGACCATGCACTGCGTGGCAAGGAAAAGACGGCATGGAAAGCCTTCCAGTTAGTGGCAATAAATTTTCTCGGAAACAACAAGGCAGACAACTACAGGTTGTTGATGGAAAACCTCCTCAAGGCATACAAAAGCCTTGGTTGCAACTTGTCACTAAAGATACATTTTTTGCACTCTCATCTAGATTTTTTTTCCACTGAACTGCGGAGCAGTGAGCGACGAGCACAGCAAGCGATTTCCCCAGGACATTGCAACAATGGAGAAACGCTATCAGGGCAAATGGAGCCCATCAATGCTTGCAGACTATTGCTGGACAGTGACAAGAGATGCTCCATTTAATGAATACAAGAGACAAGCCAAGAAGCGCCGAGTAGACACTGAATAGGACTAAACTATGTACGGAATAGTTTTTTGCCTTTTGTTTCATAATAAATTTTATTTATATACCCCTTTTGCTGATTTTTAAAGTGTTACATAAACAGGACAGGTGAAATATTATCATGTAAAGCAACCATAAACACATGAAAAGACCTAGGTTTACAATTTATGATTAAAACTCTATCTACACAATATACATAGACAGACATAAAATGTAAAAACTTAAATATCTTAGAAACAGTAGCCAATCAGTTGTTTTAATTGTCATATTTGAATTCAGCACATCAAAATACATAATAAATAGCACATTTTATCTCTGAAGCAGACGACTTCTCAAAAATTGTAGACCAGTGTTATGTGAGATTTAGTTATTCTAATCTTACCTCATAAATTAATCCGTCTGACCACGTTTGTTGCTGTAAACTTTGTCTCTGGTAATAGAAGATCACACTTA